TGGGTTAAGCTAAACACTGACGGATCCTTTCACCAACTTACCGTTGCCGCCAGAGGTGGGGGTCTGATTAGGGACCATAGTGGGGCTCTTATTACCTCTTTCCATGCCCTCTTCAGGCATCCTCAAGCTACGATGCGGAGATTCAGGCGCTTCAGATTGGTCTGCAAATTGCTGCCTCGATCTCTTCTCACATTTGGATAGAGTTGGACGATGCTGCTGTCATCACTCTCTTGACTATTGGCCATCTGTTCGTCCCATTTTTGTGTCCTTATTTTGGGTTAATTTTCTTTTTATTTTCCCCATTTTAGTAGCTTATTTGGTCCAATTCTGTGATTTTGTGTTTTTCCCTTTAGTTACATTTTATGTTTTTTTGTTGTGTTACGCTTCGTGTTTTCTCCGTGTTTGTGTTTTCAGGAGGTAGGTTGTGCTGGTCGAGGATGAAACTGTTGGAGCCGAGACCATGATACCAAGAATACCCATTGCCGAGCCCAGAAAGCTGAAGGAAGGACCAGAAAAACAGACTGAAGAGCGCGTCCAGCATTTTTCGTGACTCGCGAGTCGTGTCGCGACTCGCGAGAACAACATAGACGAAAGAAGACGTTTGCGACACGATCACAACTCGTGAGTCAAGGTCGCGACTCGCGAGAGCAATTTCCTCCAGGAATTGAGCATCTTGACGACGAGCAACTCGCGAGGATGTCGCGACTCGCGAACAGGAAAAATGTGAAGTAGCGACTCGCGAATTATCGGCGTGATTTTCGAGGAGCGAGTTTTTAACATCAGATTTCGGTCCTAGGGAGGATAATTCACTTTTCAGACTTTTTTTTACGCTTTAGCTCTAGAAAAACTCATTCCGTTCAGTACTTTTGCTCTTTTGATTCGAATTGGATATTGAAAAACTCTTTTTTCTTGCTTTGGATTGGATGCTTGTGGATTCAACATTGGATTATTTACAATCATAAGTTCCTCTTTTCTCAATTGCATGTTGATGATGATGACTTGGGTTATTATGAATTGTGATATTGAATTCTCCATGAGTAGCTAAATCCATTCGCTAGGGATAGGAGATGATTGATTAGGTTCGTTTAATGATTGCTTGCTTTTGATTGTTCATGTCTATTCGCGTAGTGCAAATTCTAGGGTTAGTAGATTGATCACCTTTCTAACCTAGCTAATCAACGTGTAGAACCGACAGGGAGACGTTGGTCGATTTAGGCTCGTATATGATAGACTTGTTCGGAGACGTATTGTCTATGTGTTGTTGGAACTGATAGTTGATCGTTTAAATTCACTCTCTTGTTACGTAGAGTTATTGAGAGTGAATCTGAAAGAGAAACGATTCAATTTCTTTAACCGAGCAATTGATTGTCCGGTAATTGTGTTAGAACCGAAAGAAATTATCCCCGATTCCCTAGCTCTTCAATTATTAAGTGAATTCGTCTTGCTATTTACACTGCTTTTCATTAGTTTTAAATCCTTAGTTGATAATTGAAACCCAAAAATTATTGAATAGAGTGTTTAGGATCTTGTCTTTTCTTTTTTTGTGATCGAATAAACTTACAACTAAATCTGGCTAACCTTCTTTGCGATACGACCCGAGGAACGAATCTTTCGATTCCACTCCTGTAAAAATACTGACAACAAAATTGGCGCCGTTGCCGAGAATCGAACCTGGGTCACCCACGTGACAGGCGGAAATCACATTTTTTGTAGCACAAATTATTATTTTTTTACCGAGTCCCGGATCGAAAGATTCGTTCCCCGGGTCGATCTCACGAGGAAGGCTGTTCGGAATTTAACTTTGATATTGATAGCACATAAAAGCAAGATAAATCCTAAACACTTTAATCAGATAGCAGTTTGGGTGAATTATTAACTAAGAAATAAAATAAAAATAATAATCTACCTAAAAATGCAAACGAAACAAAGATGGAGAAGCTAGGGAGTCGGGGACAATTAATTCAAGTTCTACTCGCACACCGAAACATGAATCATTCTAATCTAGATTGATGCTCTCACTTAAACATCTAGCGGTTCGCTCCTAATAACTCTTCGTAACAAGGGATTGAACATAGACGAGCAAGCTTGAGCATAAAATACACGCCAATTATCCCAATCCCAATAACTTTCGTAACAAGGGACGAGTCACCGACGAGCACGTATTTCAATCCAAAACATATAGACTATTCAGTTACGAAGTTATCTACCTCATGCGAGCCTAGGTCTACGACCTCTCCCCTTTCAGTTCTAAAAGTTGCTAATTCAATTAGAAGGGTATTAATCGACTAATCATGTAGAATCAACAAATCCTAACTCAACAAATTAACATTCAATCATTTCCAATTGCAAGATCGAAGTGTCACTATTCGATTATATCAATTAATTAAGCACAAATTTATCAATTCCTAATCAATTCAACTCACATAAGAACGAACAATTCAAGCCCGAGAGATACGAATTAAACAAGAATAATTATCCCCTATCCCTAGCAATAAGAATTAGCTACGTAAAATCAATCCAACACAATTAATCATTCTCCTGAAATTAACCATTCATGAATTAAGTTAAAGAGAAAACTTTCATTTAGTCCAAAATCCAAGTGTTGAATGGAATTACAAGCTTAATCTTCAAGTGCTATGAAGAAGAAGAAGAAAAATGGAAGAGAAATGAGAAGAGGAAGAAGAAAAACGAAGAAGAAAAGAGAAGGAAGGAGAAGGAGAGTGTTTTCTCGGGACCTAGGGATTTTACCTGGT